TGCGGCCGCCGCGGCCGCACCTGCGAAGCCCAGCAGACCGCCCGGCGGAAGACCGCCGACCACCGCTCCGTGAGGCAGTTGCTGCGCATGGATCTGTTGCTGCGATAGCGAGATAAAAAGCATTTGTAATAGAATACCTCTCTCACTTCTTTTCTCTCCCGGTTCCTTTTTCTTCGCTTACCATCGCGCGAGCGCGCTTTATACGACTTTATTCCTAATTCATTTTTCATCGATTAACCGCGCGAATCATCAATAATCGGCGCTACAACATCAATCAACACTAACCAATATTTCGGACAAATATTTCGAAAGGTGCATTATCAATAGATTAAACGAAGAGTTAAAAATTTTTGCGTTTCTTTACTATCACGATGTAATGTCCTGTTAAATTTATGTCAAATTATTTGACATAAATTTGAGTTATTTCTAATCATTTCTGGATCGTCATTGCTTCTATTCATTGTGTCATAATTTAACTAAAACAAAAGAGTCAAGAAATGCAGTAAATTTGATTGAATTTAATTAAATTTATTATTTACCATATGTTAATACACAGATGTTGTTTGAAATTAAGCAATTCAACCACAGAAATTAATTTGATTTATATTTTGACATATCTGAAAATTAAAAACAATAAAATATTATTTAACTCGAGAGATCGGATTACCGTTGCTCCTTTAATATCTAACAGCTGTGTATAATCTCTAATTACATTCTCGTAAAATTAATCACGTAATCCGTGCAATCAACGTATTAAATTGTTCTCCTTATTCCTAGCAACGCGTAGCTTTTCATGACAAAATTTCCATCAGCAAAATGTCATAACACGTTACTTTAAGATCTGAATCTCATTATAAAATGATTCCAAATCATCGTTCAATAAATAACAGAAATATAAACTTAAACCATGTTTTATGCATTAAATGTGATATAAAATGCTCACCAGAAGCTGTTGTAGACCTTGCTGCTGTTGCTGCTGCAAGAATGAAAAAAAAAATCCGTGTCAAGTTGCACTCAAATAACAATTATTTAATCGTAAGATTAAATTCGCCGATATAGGACGCGTACTATTTAGTTATAAAGAATTTTTTCTGGATACATTTTTGCGATCTATCTCATTAGAGCCGATGACTTAGGAAGTTAATGGTGAGCGGCTACTTACTCCGATAATAGCGTTCAGTTCGGACATGGTGACTTGCTTCGCCCTCTCCACGGCATTGGCCACCTGCTGCTGATGCTGCAATGCCATGCTATCATTATCGCGTCGTCGTCACACTCGATTGTGAGATCGCACGGCACGCGTGCCAAACAGAAAGTCAAAGACTCACCTCTTGCGCCAGGAACGGAAGCACTTGCCCGATTATCGCGTTCAACCTCTTCGCGATTTCCGTCTGCAACAGTGATGGGTAAAATACTTGAAAAATATACCTAAATACAGATACAAATACATATGCGAAAATGTATTTATATACAGATACAGATACTTTCAATTTTCGCAGTATCTTTAGATACATATAATATATTCAGATACTTTTAAATTATATCTTATACAATATTATACAGGATGTCAAAGTTGATAAAAAGTTGATAAAAAATACTGAAAAAATTCCTACAGCTCTATGAGAAGAAAATAAACAATTTTTGTCTCTTGCAATTTTTTTGTAAAGTTGAGTTAGTATTTGAGTAAAACATTATTGAAGACCAATTTTCGACAATTTTTAGTAATTAATATCTTGTTAACTATTGCGAAAATTGCAAAATAATAGAAAACTTTTCGATTCAGTTTAGTCCGCTCTATCTACCCATGAAATATTTGGCGATTATTCTGGGACACCCTGTATATTATTATAATAATAGTAATATTTAAGAAACGTACTAAATAAATTATTTATTAATTACTTTTAGTTTTATTGTTTTAAATCATAATATAATAATAATAAAGTAAACTATAAAGATCCTCGTATATAAAGATCAGAATGTGCTGTTTTTTTGCAAATAAAAACTGTTTTGACACTAATAATTCTTACATTATCACTCTAATTATTACATGATATAGCAAACGAAAATAGAATTGCAAAAACATGCAATTACCCCCCTCGTATACTCTCTAAAATTTTTGGAGTGAAATCTAACTCTTAAAAATTGACAATTGAGCCACTTTTTTTTAACACTGACTCAATTGTTATTCTTTAGAATTAAATTTCACTTCAAAGATTTTAGAGAGATCGTAAAATGATTTACGATCAAACTTTCCAGACATTTTATTCGTTATTAGTTTTACAGATCAAACTTATATTTGTTCAGGCCATAATCAGGAGTGACGTTATCACACATATGATAAAATCATGCCTTTGTTAAGGAAATGTATTTGAAAATCAGTTCGGATACTGTGTTTTTGTATCTAGCTACAAATACAAATACTCAAATTTAAATGTATTTCAGACACAAGTTAGATACACAAAATGTACTCTATACATGTATCTAGATGCATACTACCCAACATTGGTCTACAAACACACGACGAATAATCGAATCAAATGTGTTTTCAAATAACAGCTAACTATTCGGGTAATTTATCTTAGCGGTCAAAAATAAAATAAAACGTGAATAAAGAATATCGCGATTTTCAAAAGGAAATAAAATATACTTTAATTTTATTGACTGTTGCTTTCAAAGAGAATAATTTCTCGATGACAGATGCATAATTTCTTTTAATACGCGCCGTAAATACGCGCTTTTATAAAACATTCCGTCATATTTCCATTTCCAAAAATTAAAGAACAGCACATGTCGTTTTCAAAATGACTGATCCATTTGTAAAATTGAAGGGCTGGATTCTATAACAGGATATATGCGGATTTCGCGTAAAAGATGACAATTTGAAAAGGACAACTTTTGTGATCGAATGAATAAAACTACGAATTTGGGAGAAACATTTTGAAAAATGCGACATTCGGCTGTGAAATGTTTCAAAAACTTTTTTATACCCTTTCGAAAAATATGTTGAAGTTTATTCTGAGAAAGTTTCAAAGAAATATTCATATATTTGGCTAAAATATGCCGAACACAAAAATGCATTTTTCCTTTTTACAAGTTACTTTTTCCGTAATTTAAAGATAAAAAATATAAATTTGGTTTAAGCACAAGAGAAATGCGCTATAAAATTCTCAAGAATCAATCGTCAAAATCGAAATTGGAGCGATGTCCAAAATTAGCCCGGCGAACAATAAGAACTTAGCCCGTGAAATCCACGTCTATCCTGTTATAGAATCCAGCCCCTCAATTGCACAAGTAACACACCGAAAATTTACTCGAAATTTAATGTCGCGTGCATAGGTTTAACGTTACACAGTTATGTTTTGAATAATTCGAGACTTAATTGAGAAATCGAGGCCGGTTGTATGGGGGGTGCGATACAAATTGTGTGTATATAACGTACAGGACACACGTGTCACGGCATTGCGGGGTTACATCGCGGTAATCACATGTCGCATGACGAGTGCTCGACGAACATACATGCACAGCTCGTCGATTCACCCTCGTACAGCGGGGTGGCTACTCATTAATGTGCGTCGATCGAATCGGATCGCGATTAAGCTCACGATCGCCACGTGACTTTCACATAACCACAACATGAAAGAAATATTTGTATTTTGTCGCCTATTTATCAGCTCTGATTGCACCATTGGTAATCGCAAATCAATTTCTGTATTTTCAAATAATTAATTCAACTGTTAGTTCACACGGTTGGGTCATTCGTGTCCTACGCATTTCTTTTCTTCGAAAAATCAGACGCACCAAGTAATTACTCAGACAACACAAAGTCCAAAATTAGAGACATAAGACGTCTTTAAGACGTCTTTTAGATGCCAAAAACATTTCATGTCTCGAC